CCCACACCCCACACCCTACACACACTGCACTACCCCACTGCTGCGCCCACTACCCCCACACACTGCGCCCACTACCCCCACACACTGCGCCCACTACCCCACACATTCTCTCATTCACACACCAGCCACAACCTTACCACCGACCAACATCTTCTTTCCTCTTGTTAATTTACTGAAGACTTTCTCTAGCTCTCTTCAACCTCCAGATCTCCCTTTACCAAGCACAGATCAAGACACAGCGCCTCAAAAGACTCGTAAAATGAATGTTTCTCTTTACTGAGGGTATAAGAGTGTATCTAACTGGTTGACTTAACCTGAACCACCAAAAAAAATAACGTGTCCTAAAAATCACATCAAGGTTACGTTAAGACTCCTTCGTTAATTATATACGTTCAGTTAACACCAGAGAGGGGAAAAAAGTGAGATAGAGAATATTTTTACCAAACGATTTTTCCCGTAGTTTTATCTGGTGTAAAGTGAACAATATCTAGTTATTGTTGAACCTCTGTGTAATTTTGATGTTATTTTTCAGGTGTTATTTTTGTGCCTTAGCTCAAGTGAAGCAGTGAGGTGTGTTCTTGTGTCTCCTGTTACGAGGAAAACATCCCGAGAACGTGTGAGAATTTGAGTCTCTTCTCTTAGTGAGGGTATAACAGTTGATGATTTGATGATGCTACGTGTATGAGGGGCTTGTTGCTACGGCCGTGTGAGTCCCCTACTATGGTTAGGTTAGGTTAGGTCGCCTCTTTCTGTCTCCTGCTCCTGCTATTTGCTCGTATCCTCACATACACACACACACACACACACACACACACACACACACCTAACAGCTGTCTACCATGCACTTAGGCCCACAACACCCATAACTAAATGAACTTTATTACTATTATAGATCTTTAAAACATTCCCCCATCAACAGAGCGAGTGATTGCTCATTAGAATTAAAGCAACCTCTACTTATCAGGGCTCGCACCGTCCTCACAGCGCACAGCCACTAACTAAACCGGTCCATGGAGCAGGCAGCGTTGTGCCCCCCGAAAATGAGGGATTGGAAAAAAAAATCGAGCAACGTTCTCCAAGATTTTCGCTAAAATTGTCTTGCCTTCTTTTTCAGGGCTAGATCGACCTGACTGACCAGTGGTGGTAGGTGGGTGGTGGTAGGTGGGTGGGAGGGGTGTTGGTGGGTGGATGGGTGGATGGAAGAAAATTTTACGACGTTGAAATTATTCGTCTTCGAATTGTTAATGGTACAAATAAAGTTTTTTTTCGAAGGTCATAAAGATTAAGGGGTAAGGGGGGGTGAAGGGGGAGAAAGGGGGTGGTGGCATCAAGTCCTGCATCTTCCGTGTTTCGTGTTGACGGCTGGAGCTTCAGGTCACAGATGAAACTGCTGAGTTGTGGGGAGGGATTGTGTTGTGGTAGGCTGTGGAGGCGGTGGTGTTTGTGGTGGAGGCTCTTAAGGTGGTGGTGGTGAATATTGATGTGGTAGTGAAGGTGAAGGGTGGTGATGATGAATGTTGACTTGGTGGTAGAGGCGCTGGTGGTTGGTGTTGGTGGTGGGGGGGGGTGTTGATGTGGTTGTGAAGGCAGCGGTGTTGAGGAAGGTAGTGGAGGAGGCTGTGGTGGTGAGTGGCCTTGCTTGACTGGATACAGAGACCATCTTAGTGACTACATTATGCAGAGTCTGTGAGGAATTCGCCAGAGATGTTGACTGCCCGGTTTATTAACGCTGTACCGAAGACATTAACTCACCTCAAACTTTCATATTAAGAGTCATGTGCGTTTTATCTTGAAACTGACAGATCTGGGTTAATGTTCGTCACAGGTCAAAGGTCAAGGCCATACTCTTAACCATCAAGATCAAAGTATTGCCGGATTGAAGGTCATTTCGGATTTTGTGTGATTAATCGGCCTCTAGCTGTTGTACTCTTCTGTGGCTTACTGTCCCTGTGAGTGAGTGAGAGGAAGGTGTTGTTAAAGACAAAGAGAGACAGGAAAAAAAGACAGAAAGTGAGATAGAAGGGTAACTTGGTAGACAGATAAATAGATACTCAATTTAATATTTTATTTTTAATTTACTCACTTTAATTGTTTACTTCATTTGATTATTTATTACACTATTTACTTATTCACGTTTCTTTACTTATTTATCTACTTTGTTTATGTTATTCAGCTACTTTTCTTTGTTACTTTACTTACTTAAATACCGACATTACTGTAAGGACTGTGTCAGCTGGATCAGATCTTGAGAGTCTCACTTTTAATTTTCTTCCTCACATTAAACACCTCACATCTAGTCACGGTAGAGTCTCGGTGTAATTTTGATGCCATTCTGGAACTCTGTGTGTGTGTGTCTGTGTGAGTGTGTTCCTATTATATCTCATACACTTATGCACATAGTATACTAGTATAATCTACGTTCACTCACTGTATTAACACATACATATACACATACAGTATACCAACATTCCACACAGACATTATACTAAAATACACACACACACACACACACACACACACAAGGCGACGTGTTGGCATACTCTCCCGGGATGCAGTGTTCTGGCACTAGACCAAGTGTGTTGATATTCATTATTCACTATCCATCACTTAACCTTTGTTCTCTTGATTCATTATTCATTGTTATTCAGTTAACCTTCCTTTACTGTTTTGGATTATTCAGTCTCTCTCTCTCTCTCTCTCTCTCTCTCTCTCTCTCTCTCTCTCTCTCTCTCTCTCTCTCTCTCTCTCTCTCTCTCTCTCTCTCTCTCTCTCTCTCTCTCTCTCTCTCTCTCTCTCTCTCTCTCTCTCTCTCTCTCTCTCTCTCTCTCTCTCTCTCCTACTTAATGCTTTGTTTTCCTATATGTTTAACTTTCGAATATTGAGAGATGATACATTTTCCTCCTTAATTAAAGCACTTGGACATTTTCTGTCTCCCAGATTAACATACCAGCAGCTTATTTGTTGTTCTCTCACTTGGTCTGTTTTCGTTATCCTTATTTTGATTATAATAAATTATAACGTTTTCACTATTTTTAATAATATTATTATCATTAATATATTTATTCTATTATTATTACTATCTTCATTTTTGAGAAAAATAATGATGATGATAATAATGGTAACATTATTATTATTATTATTATTATTATTATTATTATTATTATTATTATTATTATTATTTTACATCAATAAAATCATTATTATATTATTACTGTTATTAATATCATCACTGTTATTATTGATAATACTTTCATTACATTATTATGATTACCACCCCCGCCCCCCCTCACCCTACATCACCCTGTGGGGGGCTGAGGGGAGTATCGGCCAGGAGGGGCCGAATAAGACGTCACTCGCCCCTCACCTGTCATGCTCACGCTGGGTGGCGCTCGTCTTCCTGGCCTTCTCGACCATCCCATCTTCCCCGACAATTAATTCGGAATAATAATCACTTTTATATGCCCATAACTGTCGTGAGCGAGAACCAAATTGTCTGCCGCCTTACCAAAAAAACAAGATTCTTGGGGGAGTCGTCGGGGGGCAGCGGGAGTACCGTAGTGAAGCAGCGTCCGCGTCACAATTTGCAAGTGCTATAAAACAATCCATGTGAGGGGCAGTCGGGCTTCTAATTGGCTCTGGCTGCTATACCCCCAACAGAGAGGCGGCGGCAACAGCGTGCCAGAGACCTAAATCTTACCATAAAAAGAACGCCAGCACGAGCAATCAAGAGAGCCTGGCATTCTTCACAGTGATACTTTTATGTATGTTACGACAGACGAACAGTTGTCCACCTTTTGCCTGCAGTGACTCTTACTGTAGTTTAATGGTGTGAGCTGAGGGGTTCTACCATAGAAACAGCGCCAGCACAAGAAATCACCATTGTTTGCCATCCCACTCCACTTTACCACGACACGTTCGCAGAAGTTACGCCAGGCGAAGTTTCTCCCACCTTCTACAGTCATGTGGCACTTTTACTCACCCTTATGGAAGTTATGTTAAACGTACGGTCGTCCACTTCCCTGCCTGCAGTAGCGCTCTTTCCATAACGTGTGACGTTGATCAAGATATTACGGTTCTTACCTTTTTAAAGGAAGGGCGATATCTACTACTACAACGACTACTGCTAAGACTACTCCGACTACGACTACTACGACTATTACTACGACTATTACTACGACTACAACTACGACGACTACTACGACAACTACTACCACTACTACTACGACGATTACTACCACTACTACTACTACTACTACTACGACGACGACTACTACTACGACGACGACTACTACTACTACAACGACGACTACTACTACTACTACTACTACTACTACTACTACTACTACTACTACTACTACTACTACTACTACTACTACTACAACGACGACGACGACTACTACAACGACGACGACGACTTCTACTACTACTACGACGACGACTACGACGACGACGACTACGACGACGACTACAACAACGACTACTACAACAACAACAACGACTACTACTCTGTTGCCCTAATTGCGCGACCCTATAGGCATCCCGGCATACCGCTCAGGTCACTCTCGGTCACTGAACTGGACCCCTTGATGGATGCGCACCAGGACAATTACCGCGTGCGCCTCCTCCTGCTGCTGCTGCTAGTGTTAGTGCTGCTGCTGCTGCTGCGGCAGCTGCTAGTGATGCTGCTGCTACTAGTGCTGCTGCTGCTGCTGCTGCAAGTGCTCTGTTAGTGCTGCTGCTAGTGCTGCTGCTGCTGCAAGTGCTGCTGCTGCTGCTGCTGCTGCTGCTAGTGATGCGGCAGCTGCTAGTGATGCTGCTGCTACTAGTGCTGTTGCTGCTGCAAGTGCTCTGTTAGTGCTGCTGCTAGTGCTGCTGCTGCTGCAAGTGCTGCTGCTGCTGCTGCTGCAAAGTGCTCTGTTTGTGCTGTGCTGGCTGCTGCTGCTGCTGGCTGCTGCTGCTCTGTTAGTGCTGCTGGTGCTGCTGCTGCTGCAGTGCTGCTGCTAGTGCGCGCTGCTGCAAGTGCTTGTTAGTGCTGCTAGTGCTGCTGCTGCTGCAAGTGCTGCTGCTGGTAGTGTTGCTGCATGCTCTGCTGGTGCTCTGCTAGTGCTGCTGCTGCTGCTCTGCAAGTGCTCTGTTAGTGCTGCTGCTGGTGCTGCTGCTGCTGCTGCTGCAAGTGCTGCTGCTGGTAGTGTTGCTGCTGCTGCTGCTGCTGCTGCTGCTGCAAGTGCTCTGCTAGTGCTGCTGCGGGACGCTGCTGGGCCACCTGCCAGTGATGCTGTTGTGCCTTCTGCATCCACGGTGCTCATTCAACACCAGCTACACCGGCCTCTACCCACGCTACACCAGCCGTGCCTCACACCCAGTGCGGTACGTCTTCCATCTTTATCTGTTACCTCACTCATGTTTACTCCCTATATTTGGGTATCCTCCACCATCTCTCTCTCTCTCTCTCTCTCTCTCTCTCTCTCTCTCTCTCAAGACTTATGCCTCCTCCTGAATCCCTCAACCCTTGACCTCATTCCACCTACTAAATACCATCTATTCTGCTTTTATATATGTGTGTCTCTTCAGTTCTGTTTCTCTCAAGATTTATCCTGTCCTCCAGCCCCCCACCACACCCCCAACATCCCCAGCACCCATCCCTCCCCACACCCCGGCACCCACATCCCGCCCCACACCGCCCAACACCGCCCAACACCTCCCAGCACCCACACCCCCCCCTACACCCCCGCCACATAAACAGTACACCATCAAGGTACCGCTAAATTCATTAATTCACTCACCTACTCTTCCCTCGCCTCCTCTGGGTGTAGACGTAATGGATTATTTGGCCAGCAATTAGCAACGGCCATTTAACCAACACCTAATTACAAAACCACTCGTAGACTCAACACTAGTAACGAGATATTCTTCTTCAGGATGAGGGACTTACACACACACTGGTCTTCCTTCAGGGTCACTAGCAAAACAATGGTGGTCCTCTGCGTGGCGCCACCCCATGATCCACGACTCCTTACATACAGTTATATTTACCTCCTAGTATGAGACCCCGAGCTATGATAATTACTCTCCTTCACCTCCAGATGGTCACTTTTTCCCCATCTATCTCGTCGTAAAGTCAAGCAGCGTTTCCACAGGATTCATGGTTAATAAATCAGGAAGTATTTCAGCTTTACCAACACTTAGTAGAGTTTTCCTCATAACCTCGGTGTATTTCTCATTGATCTCACTGTTGATGGGCCAAAATATTATGTTGAACTTTCATAAATATTAATCTTAAGGTCCGTGAAGGCAGAAGGTATTACTAGTCTTAACAACACTAGGGAGGGTGATGGAGGTTGTTGTGTGATCTTAGTGTCTTCCAGTTTGTTGTTGACCTTCTGCTTCCTCCCTGGTCCTCACTCCAGCAACGATATATCTTACAGGTTCATCTTGACACATGCAGACCTCCCACCGCCGCGGCCTTTGACTACAAGACCTCCTGAAGGGCAAAGAGCTAACTGCAGAACCCCCAAGAGGCCTAATGAGTAACAAAATAGAGTGTAGGATCTCATATATCTGATGGTAATATATTCTTGAGACTTACAGTACAGAGGACCTCTGTCAGTGTCATTAGCTGATCCAACACCTGACAAAGGAGTGTTTTTTTTTTCTGGACCGAACAATTGATTATACTAAATGTTTTATTATATTATAAACCCGGCCTATATATCACACCGAGAGCCGACACCTGCCTCATATAGTACAGTAAGACTCGCACCTCCAGGACTTCTCTGGGATAATTTTCTTCATTATGATCCTATAATCGAAGAGTCTTTGATCTACTCCAGCGTCTGACATGAAGGTATTAGTCGGTTAATACTGCTTAAGGTCCTTCAGGTATAGAGCTCTCCTTCATCACCATCACCCACGTAGAGAGAGGAACAGACTTGACCTGTCTCTGTGATCCAACCTTCCTTAGCACAGTGACTCCCTGTAGTCCAGCCAGGTCCTGTTCCCACGCGATATAACAAAACTGTTTTTAGTGTCTTGTGTCTTACCAGAGACTCACCGCCTCTACTAGTTTTTGGTAGCTGGACGCCCCACTGGTTCACCCTTACTGATGCACCGCCAAATTTCAGGGCCAATGTCTTACAACGGCAGTATTGTTTTTCTGGATTGGGAATCTTGGTTCCGGATCTCCATGTCTCTTCAGTCGTTTAATTTTGTAAACAAAGAAGTGTTATGCAGATCTCATCCAGGACTTTTCTCTTAACTAATTTATTTCTTTTGACTTGGAATCTCGGTTCAAAGTCTCCACCAAACTCTTCACTACATTATCACTTCACAGCAGCACTACATCACCACCAACCACTACATCATCCTTAGCTCACTGCATCAACACCATAACACCACCTCACCCTCACTTAATCATGACGTTTTTCCTCTCGCTACATCACTGTCACCTCACCACACCTGTACGAGGCGATAGTATCAGGTAAACACAGGTGACGACTCCTCTCAGCCACAGGTAATACAGCCAGGTACCACACTAGTCTGTGTGTGGCCTCCTGTGATTGTCTCTACTTTCGTATTATAACTGTTTACATAACCAGTTACCTACCAAAGTTGTTGTTTTTTTCGACTGACAATTCAGACAGTTACTTAATGTCGACATTCCAACAGTTGTCTGGTTAACTGTAGGCTCCGACACTCGCCTTTATATTTTTGTCGTTCTAACCGAAGATTCAGATAATTGCTGCCAATATTCCTTTTTCTCGTGGAAGCTGTATGACAATTTTCTATCCGTATTGTGACCCAACAGACCCACTCGAAGGTAGCCAGGTGGGATCCTCTTTTTACCCACACTAACCAGACCAGATCCTTCTCCCACCCAGACCAGAGCCATTATCCACACTCCATTGAAAGCAAACAACCCCCCCCTTACCCCCCCTCCCCCACGGTCTCTGAAACCACTGAACCTACTCTACATGCACTTCAAATACACCTCGGTTATCAATACCTCCTAACTAAAGTAACAACCATACCGTCGACGCGCATCTTAAATTCTATCACCGTCCACCTAGCAAGAACATCAAACCAATCACAACACTCCTTATCTAGACCACCAGAATAAAACGAGTTTCTCATTGGCTATGAGATAGTAAACAGCACAGGGACGATATATACACGATTGTACCTTATATGTAAAACTCTCTGGCCTAATGTGTAAACAGACTCCTCAACAATGGCTTTTATGTCAACGAGAAAACCAGGTTGGCGGTGAGGGAAGCTGCCAGGCCCGTGACCTCAACAGGACTCGATAAAGACAGATAAAAATAAATGAATGAACTGAAGCGATTAAGGGAAAGTAGTTTAAACGCGTGTAAAAGATAACAACTCTCACGTGACCTCCTGAGCTCTAAATCGACCCAAATAGAAGTCAAAACACACACAGATTAGAAAATTTGATGAATGCCATAGACACACTGACATCATCTGCGGTTAATAGTACAAGAGTAAAATTTGTCTTGTGGAGTCTCCTTCAGTGACATAAACACTCTCTTGTGAGAATTGTCCAGTGTCCAATATATAACTTTGGTTGTGAAGTTTTGTCCAATAAGGTAAATTCTTTTATGGTATTTTATCTGGGGGGGTGAACTGTCCAATGGTATTTTTGTCCATTTTTTTTTATCCTGATGGTATTTTGTCCAATGTGTTATTCTCCCGATTGTATTTTTGTCCAATGTGCTATTCTGCCGATGGTATTTTGTCCAATGTGCTATTCTGCCGATGGTATTTTGTCCAATGTGTTATTCTTCCTATGGCATTTTGTCCAATAGATCATCGTCAAGGAGGAATTAGTTCATGGGAAGATCGTGTGTACCTCTCGCTTATGTTCTTCGTCCCCAGAGACTCAACCCAGGATGGAGTGCTCAATAGCCAATGGCCACCAATCAAGGTTTCAATTAAAAAAGTATCGTGTACAGGTAACTTCATCAGGGTGGCGGGTCGTCCATCACCTCACTGTCAAGGCTTCACGTGCTCGTTAAGTTACCTGGGCCTCGAGATCAACCCTTCAATTTCACCTGAAACTGTTAACCGCTAATATAATACGACTAATTATTACAGGTTGTTGGTATAGGCCCCAGTATGACCTAACCTAACCTATTCTTACTTAAACTAAACTAACCTATTCTCACTTAGCCTAACATAACTTAACTATTTTCACTTAACCTAACCTCACCAACCTTGACCAAGTTACACAACACCTAACAAAACTTAATCTAACCAAACAAAACTTAACCGAACCGAACCAAACCTAACCTAATTTAACTCAATCAAACTTAAACTAATCAAAACCATCTTGGATTAAAGTCTACGTTCGATTCCTGGATGACTCGCCATGTTCCTCGAGCAGAGAAAACTTACCTCCGCGACCAACCGGCCGTCACAGAAAATGGGGAGTTGTGCCTGCTCGATATCCTGAGTTACACCACTGCAACCTGCGACACCACCTCTGTAACTTACGACATCGTCACCGTAAACTTGCTACATCTTAAAGTATATTTCCCCGTGACCGAATGACGTCACTGTTGACACCACAAAAGAAAAATTGAAAAATGGTTAATATATTAGTTAAAACATAAATAAAGTAAATTTACTATGTGATAGTTGGTTGACAAGGTGATGACAGCTTTCGTTTGACTGAAAATTTACAAATCGAGCCTTCAAGGAACATTTCTTATTTGACAGATAATTGACAGCTGTGGCCTGACCTGACCTTAACACTCAACGGCTCCAAAATAAAAACAACAACAACAACAACAACATATTGCAGAACTATGAAGCACTAATGACCCCATATGTTTATCCATGGCTGAGAGAGAGAGAGCGATTAGAGCAGCACCTGACCTCATTATCAATTAGCCACTGTGAGGTGTGTGACCGAGGCGATTTACGGCTGAATTTCATGGCACGGCACCCGACCTCTGTGCCATTATGTAGTAACATTTCCTGAGTGGACAGCGTGAGGCTCCTACGTGCAGTGCTGGAGGGGCTGATGTAGTGTGTGTGTGTGTGTGTGTGTGTGTGTGTGTGCATCACTGTTTATAAATGTATATATGTATGTATTTTCCACTCGCCATTTTTGTTTGTATGAATGCATGTATTTCTCTTTCTTGTTTATAGATGTATGTATGAATTTCTCTTGTCGGTTTGTCTGTCTGTCTTTCACACACACACACACACACACACACACACACACACACACACACACACACACACTGTCAATCAAGTCCTGAGCCTCGACACCTCCCTCCCCCTC